GCACGTGGTCTATAATTGTATCGTTGACACATGATTCCAGAATCTTGCTTGGTATGCTAAGAATAGAGAGGACGATAGTTTCCTCTGACCGTTTCATCGGCACGTGATCGTTTGCAATTTGTAGAAATAATTTGTTCCACATCCATAGCGTGTCGTCCGGATCATCAAAAATCATAGCTACATGAAAAGGAGCACTTTCGATATCGCGTTTGAAGTACTTCTCGTTCAGTTTGTTGTAGTCACTCACAGCCGAACTTTTTTTTTATAAAGGGCCAGTCATTATTTATTGCCTGTGGCGGGGGGAGGGGGGAGGGGGGGGTGTGAGGATTTTTTGGGGGGTATCATTTGATTTTTAGGATAAGAGTAGGGGCGTCAGTCATAACTGAGAGCCCTGAGGGGGTGTCCGGTAAATATCACACGCCCTGTAGCCTGCTACTTGGCACTCTAGAAAGTAACTTTGCAGTTTCCAAGCACTTGGGACGGTTACAGCAAAAGATGCGGATCAAGAGACTGCACCATGGCGGCTTCATTATACTGTTAGTGCATCATAGTTAGAATTATTACTTGCATATGAATATTAAAAGCACTATACGCGTCGAAAGGTGAGTATGTGTGCGAAGACCTTGGGGGCGGATATCACGAAATTTATCACTAGTTATGAGGGGGAGTCACTTCAATAAAATAACATTTAAGAGGGGATCAGCTAAATGTCATTGTCTTTAGCCGAAAATCCTCCAACCAACCCTCCAACCCCAACCGCGACCGCGACCCCCTTGCGAGCCTGCGAGTCTTGGAGATCAGCAGCACTACCGGAAGGCCCGGCTGCTAAGGCAACATTCACGTGCGTTTGAGTGTTGAGTTTTGCTTAGGTAATTTATGTGAAGATTTATCGTTCTTTATGGGTATGGATAAGCATATTAAACAGAAAAAGAAGAAAAATTTAAAGCGAAAACTACTACCCAGGGATTCGGCGATCGATAAAGGTAAGGTTCATTGACACGAAACCCGTGTTCGAGCTCATCGACTGGTACATTCTAATGTTGATTGCAATTGTTCAGACTCGTGTTTCACCGTTTAGAACTGAAATCTCAGCTGTTTTGTGTATAAATTCCCTGTTGCCAAAGCCTTTTTAAGCTGAAATTAATGCTTATTGTATCGTTTACAGCTTCGAAGGCAAAGAAACGTAAGGAGATAAAGAAAAGCCACGGGGTTGTAAATTTAGCAGAAGACGAGAAAGTTCAAGATCACCAGGGTACATGTCATGTATATTGTTAGCCTTTTTCGACTTCAAACGTGTGTTGAGTTCAGATTTATCAAACCAGTAAGCTTAGAACACTTTATAAACATTTTCCCTCACAGATATTTCCTGCATACCGAAAAACTAAATAGTGCTTACAAATACAAATAATACAATAGCTCAAAGAAAGGTTGTTGTTTGTTGTTGTTTGTTACTTACTCTAAATTAAATGTCACATGTAGTAGTTGCTTACTTTGCAAAAGGCGGCCTAGACGTTGAATACAATTAATGCGTGACATCTATTATGCTGTTGGTGATTGCATTATGATTGCAGCCGTTTATAAGAATGTATGAGAATGAATTGAAAATTGTTCTAAATGATTTGCATAGAAAATTACATGTATGTACTAAATAAAAGTAGCTTTCCTCATGTTTGTATTGTATTTTTTTGATGTCTTTGTGTTTCTGGAGGTAGTTTAAAGCCATTTAGTCGAGTTATACTTTGTGATGGTTTAGACCACCATGGCTGAAATCATAACACAATCACCAACAGCACAATGTCACATATTGATCATATTCAACATCTGGGCCACCTGTGACTTTCCATGAAATTTGTTTTTCAAATTCTAGGTCATGATCCCCCTGTTTTATCAGATGGTGATGGCAGCTTGCAACCTGCTGTGGCAAAGCAACAGAAACGTTCATATGAAAGTGTTAGCTTACCAGAAGGTAACTTCTAATCCTTATCGCGAATCTTTTCATTGCAAAGGAAGGTCTAATTTAGCACCCAAATGAGGCAATAAAAATAATTTTATCACTCTTGGGTAATCATGTGAAAAAAGTTTTGTCTGTCTGTTTTATTGGCTGGGAGAAGTAATCTATCCTGTCAAATTTCCCAAGCAGTTGTATGATCACTTGTAACAACATTTTAATAGATGTATAGAAATGGAGTGAGACCTCAGAGCAGACCAACTTGTTTAGTAGGCCCATATGAAGGGGTTATGAGATCCTGAGAGCTGTGTTAAGTTAGTGATGGTGTATTGTATGCAGTGCGTTATCTGATAGTTACAGTTAACCCGTCTACACTTTTTGCTCAGTTTGTCGTTCGCTGGCAAACAATGACTTAACTTGCATGCTATTTCATAACAATTTTCCCAGACGGGATGTTATAAGTTGTAATTACTACACAAATTAGATTTAGTTTCTACATTTTACTGACGAAGCTTATTACAGTGCTTCCAGTCAATGAGATATCCAGTACTGGATGGTTGCTATCCTATGTGTAGTGTAACTTCTGTCAGAGAGTATAAGAATAAGAAAGGCCCCCTTCAATTTTTGAAAGCTGCTAATGTTGTAGCTGTCAATTCCCCAGAGTTCTGGAACTCAGTGTTAGTCTGTGATATATATGTTGCAGTTATGCATTATTTTCAATTATGATTATTTATGTTTATTAAGTCTGTTTTGGGCTTGAAATTTTTACATTAGGTTCCTTTCTATTTTCCCTGGTCTGATATTTATAATGTTATTCTCTAGGTATAAAACAAATGAAAATGAAAATTTAACTTTAAATTTGAAATCAAAAACAAATTAAAATCACAGCTTAATTAGGGCACTTCTTCCTCTGTAGATGTGGCAGTTCCTGATAGCACAGAGTTTAAATCTCTTGAAGAATTTGTGAGTGAGAAGACTCTTAATGCAATCGCTGACATGGGCTTCACCGATATGATGGAAATTCAACACAAAAGCATAGTGCCGCTTCTTAAGGGAAGGTACGTCTGCACCTTCACAGTCACGCAAATAAATGTCAGGGTGTTTATTTCAAACTTGTCCTTGTGGACCTGTGACTATTTGAACTCTTTGGCAACTTAACTCAGTAGCATCTAACCTTGATATACTATAATAATACATGAAGTGCTTTAATGAGCAACTGTCAGTGATATTATTGGAACTTAAACAGGAAACTGAAGGATTTTGACTTGTATCCGTGTACTCGCATACTTGAGTTTATGGCACTGAGAACTTGACATTTTGATGAACATTTTGCTCTGTTGGTGAAACAATTCTCTTTGAACAATTACTTTTGTCAAGCTCAAATTCTGGTAAAGGAGAAATTTTAGATTTTCAGGATAACTTTTTAACAGCAATAATTATTATAATGGTTTTTAACAGCAATTATTATCATTGTCACGTAACAGGGATTTGCTTGGGGCAGCGAGGACAGGTAGTGGAAAAACACTAGCATTCCTTATCCCAGCTGTGGAACTGCTTTACAAACTTAGCTTTAAGCCAAGAAATGGTAAGTGTTTAGATGTCTCAACTAACCTTTAAGTATTTTTTATAATTACCCATACATCTATTTCACAAATAATTCATTTCTTCAGGAGTAAAAAAATCTCTCTGAGTTCAAATCTAACTTAAATTGCAGACCTATACTGTTCTAGAAAAAAGATTCCAACAAAGTTGTTATATGGCAAGTATTGTATGATGGGTTAATAGTGATGTACAAGGCTGTCATTAAGAGCTACGTATAGCAGATGGTTACATTTATTTGACCAGCAACTACAACTGAAAGTGATTAGCAACTTAACATTTGAAAAAAGAAACAGTTACTTATTAGAACCTTGACAACCTTACTACATGTATCTCAAACTCATCAGTATCTTGAACTTTCCACAGTCTGAAACTCAAATCATTTTCTCTTGGATAGACTTTTCAGTCACTTAGTATCGACCTGGTGACATCTCAAACTATTTTTCATTTGCCCTAAACGTTTCAGATAGTGGTGTTCAACTATACCCAATGGACAACACCCACCACATGGGGAAAACCATCGTGAAAAATTTAATTTGTGCTACATGTATGTTGTGTTACCATCTTCTCCAAATCATAGCTTACAACTTCCCTGGATGTCACTGAGCACTTCAAAGGAAATCTTGCAGTACCTTTTTGTAGCTTACCGATATTGATTAATATTAAAACCACTATGCCTCAAAAACAGTGTGGCATACATGTAGTCAGCATTACTGAACACTGAATGTACATTGTATTCTTTTCTGGTTATTAGGAAGTTTTTCTCTGCCCTGCGTATCTTTCTGAGTAAATAAATGGGAGAATTTGTCTGTCTGTTTTGGGGTGACAAGTCCACAGAAATTGCCCAACCCTCCTTTAATGTATTTTGTAAAGATTTTGTAGAGGTGGGAACTTACATGTAACTGGCGATTTCTCTGATGTACGTTACCTAATATTGATACCTAGGTACTGGAGTGATTATTATCTCTCCCACAAGAGAGTTATCCCTTCAGACGTATGGTGTGGCAAGAGACTTGCTCAAGTACCATAGTCACACGTTTGGGATTGTAATGGGAGGGGCCAACAGAAAGGGTGAGGCTGAACGTCTGCAGAAAGGAGTCAACTTAGTGATAGCTACGCCTGGACGGCTACTGGATCACCTACAAGTGAGTCTAAAACTTGAGGAATGTAAATGCCTTTATATAATAGGTCAAATTATTCTCACATTTTGATTGGTTCTTACTTATGATCCACATGTATTGAGGGACAGGCATATAGATGACATCATTAACATTGTTTTTT